TTTTTTTGTTTTCTTTTTTTTTTTGTCAACAGCCTAAATTTCTATAACGGCACGGGAGCGAAGCCGGTGGAATTGAGTTGATGTAGTACACATTATGAGGCTGATCTCGAGCACTCCGTGCTAACTTGTCTGCCTTCGTGTTTTGTGATGTGGGGATGTGTGTAAGGGAGAACGCCTGGAACATCCTTCTGCATTTGTCCATTTCTTCAAGCAAAATCTCAAAAGCTGGACACTCTGCCGGTTTGGACACCATCTTTACCAACTGAGCACAGTCTGTTTGGAAATTCATCCGTTGTTTGTTATGGGCTAACATACTTTGCATAGCCCAAACTAAAGCCTCCAATTCCGTCTGTAGGGGAGATAAACCCCGCCTAATATTGCTGGATCCCACCAATATTGAGCCCGATTCCGGATCAAAATAGTACCACCCAATTCCTGCCCGAGGCTCCGTTACTTTCTATGCACCATCAATCTGACACAACTCACCCAACAGGACGGGCCCGGGATGTGTGGAGATGTCGAAGTGCACCCGTTCAGTTACCGTTTGAGCCGCAGCCCATGCACGTGCTTCCGTTACCGCGGATTCCATTACATCCATCGGACTAGCCGCAGCCCATGCACGTGCTTCCGTTACCGCGGATTCCATTACATCCATCGGACTATGATCATCGTTTGAGAAAACTTTGTAATTACGGGCTTTCCAAATGAACCAGAGCAACCACAGAAACATCAACATATCATCATTGTCTGGGAGATTCCAGAATAGATTAGCCATATTTGAGAAAAGTGCGCCTGTAGGGAAGCACTGGGGAGGCCTTGGAATGGGTGAGAGGGCCAAGCCTGGCGAGCCGGGGGGCACTCGAAGAGCATATGATTTATTGTCTCATCTCCCATTCCACATCGCACGCATTGCGGGTCCACTCGCATTCCTTGACTGCATAGACGGGCCCTAACCGATAAACAACCGCTAATGATCTGCCACATAAAATGTTGAATCTTCGTAGTGCATTTGACTTTCCATGATTGTGCTTGCAGTCTCCGGACGTCCGGTCCAAAAACTGGTGGGGCCCCCTCATCTGAGAGGTCCTGCAAGACACTGTATCCCGACTAAACGACCCGTTGGTGTGAAGTACCACCCCCAGGTATCAGGTTTGTATCCAGTTGCCACTAGGATACTTGTAATGCGAGTAATTTCCTCGTTCTCGAACAATTGTCGCAATAGTGGACGATTCCACGTTGATGTCTGAGAATTAATTAACTGATTCACCGTCAGATGAGGATAGTAATTAATTCCTTTGCAGATAGCTGGCCTCGGGCAAGAATCGGAAATCCAGGGGTCATACCATACGGGGATGGATGAACCCGAGCCAACTCTTTTAATAAGTCCTTTGTATACCAGAGGTCGAGCCGAAACAATACACTGCCATCCATATGACGGAGAGTAAGATCGAATCGGGTCCAAGGGGGAAGAATTCCAAAAATATCGCCCCTTGAAAACTTTTGCAAACAGTGATTCCGGATTATCCATTAACCACCATAATTGTTTGCAAGTAAAGCCGTGTTAAAGTCTTCTATTACTCTAAACCCTAGTCCCCCATCTAAAGCCGTGTTCCTCTAGTATTTTTCATAACTGAAGATAAATTTGTATATAATATACCTCTTTTTTGTTTCACCAAATCCCGAATAAATAAAGAGGATTTGCATAAACAGTTTTACGTTTTAGTGGTTTTTCCTGAAAGTTACAATCATCATGCCTTGTTGTATATTCAACAGACTTGTGTCTCTTTCGTTTTTTTTCCTAATTATTAACCTTTCTTTTATACACATAAAAAGGATCCTTCTCACTAATTCTAACACCTTAAAGCTTTAGCCAAAAGGTAAACTTGTTATCAATGTTTTTATTTATACTCGGTCATTCTTCTTACACCATACAACTTCTTAAATCCTAATGTACACATGTGTAAGGCTACTTAAATCCGGTTGAGGAGATTACGACTAAGAGAGCGATTAATTATTTATACATTTCTAAGCCCTCAAACACTCTCTTTTAATCAACTATTTATCTATTCCTCATTTCACGCAGGAGTTTGTAAATAAGCAAAAACTCAAGGATTCAATCTTTGCTGGAGTCAAGAAACAGAGAAAAAAAAGGAAAGGAATAACTCAGTATAGACAAAAGAGTATACAAAGGCCTAACACAAGTAAGATTTTAACTTGGCATTGTATAATTTGGTTATCCCCGCAAAAAGAATTATTCTAATCAGTGATTTACTTAGTATTATACTTGACATTATCTTTGTGCTTCTTTTGACTCTCTTCCTCGTCGTTTAGCAATATTTTCTTGAGGCGCTACTCTCCCAACTCGTCTACTTGTCCTGCTTCTCTTACTTGAACCTCTTTTCACTTCTTTCCCAGCCACAGGTTCTGACATTGGGACAAAGTGCATGAAGAACAAAAGCAGCAAAAGCTGCTAGCGACTGTATCAGAATCCCTGAAGACAGAAGACAGATAAGAAAACTAAATAGTTGGTTCCATATAGTATCCTCTATTGATCAAGAACTCTGGAGCGTCCTGCAGCATAAGCCATTCTATGATATGAAATTCTCATAACAATGGTTTTATATACTCAAATTTCAGGGTTTAGGATTGCGTTAAGAGAAAGGTTTTATATTACCTTCATAATTCCTGCAAAAGTAGCACATCTTCGGTGTTCCATGTGTTTCTTTCTTGGTAGATCATGTTCTGCAATATGAGGTTCTGTTTATTAGAAACAGGAAGAGGAAATGTTAACTTATTACTGATTCAAAGAAGCATACTTTTCGAAATCCCAACTACACAACAACATACTTAATTAAACAAAGCCTGGAAATGTTAAACTTGAAACAAAGGTACTATACTTCTGAAAATTTGGAGGTAGAAGCGTACAACCAAAACGACTCCTACTCATCAAATCATTGAGATAGCATTTCTCTGCATTTCTCAACTCAACAGTGGACATATTTCTTCTCATAACTTTTACACATTACAAATTGTTCTGCTTTTCTTAGTCGTAAACCAAATCGCATTGCAACATCTAAGATAGAAATAATATTGCCAGAGATGATAAAAAAATCCGTTAAGCAAGTTGAAGATGAAGAGATCACCGATGAGAAAAAGTTGTCTGAGCTCTGCTCCAAGCGGCACTCTAATGATGTGATCACTCCGAGCATAGGCAAACGACAGGTCTGCATTGAGAATCCAAGATTCGGATCCTTAACATTCCGTACTGTCCACTTCCCTACATAAACTTGGGAATTCTATCATTGGTTCTTAATGTGAACACATCATTAGTCAGTCACGCAATTGAATCCTTAGCCATTCTACAACCAAAAGGCTTAAAGAACCAAATCACTTCTACATCTCTGTCACTCACGTGTTCTCGGATCAGGTGTACAGAAGATCTTTAAAATGGGTGGTACCTGGTGGTGAAATTCTCGCTTATGGATATGTCCTTCATCCTCTACAAATATTGATAAGATCTATACTTGAAACTGCAGTAAAAAGATTAATGACTTAAATCCGTGGTAAAAACGAAAACTGATGTTGAGATTAAGAGTTATGCAGAGTTTAAATGTTATTGCTAAACGGAGATTGATAACACGGTATAGTAAAACACAACAAAGGGAACTAACTTTTTGGAAATGGCAAATACTTACCGAATGGTTAATGAGCGAAGCTATATTCCCATTCTCTGTAGCATCAACCACTACTTACTCACTCATCTTGAACAGCTGCAAGCAACACAAAACTATACCATTCGTTAAGAGGGACAGAGAGAGAGGAAAAATTGTGGATATCAAACGGGATACACATTTTTTTAACTCACATAGAAATCCTTCTGTTCTCTGCGAAACCGTGCTTCTCTCAAGTCTGCAATGATACCTCTCACTTATTCCCCTCTGTATTCAAGAACCTGAAACAAAATAGCATCTCAACATTCACTCTCATCCCAAATAGATCAAACCCAAATTCATAAATGAGTCTCTCTACGTACCATATCTCCTTCTTGAATATTTTTTCTCGCAAAAGACCCCACCCATGTATTCCAGATCTCTCAAAGCAGAGCCGATCCACTTTTGCCTCTGATGCATGAAAGTATGAACCAGACACTTGTTAGATTTGATAATACCTAATAAAAAAAAAAGAGAAACGCCTCAATGTTGCAATCTCTTTATAAGAATGTTTGCCTGTTGCCCTCGTCGCGAAAGAGGAGGCGGTTCGCCGACATGGATCCTTGGACTCTTGTGGTTGCAGAACTCACCGTGGATCTTGTCCAGAACTTGGAAAGTCAGCGGCGGGTTAGATTTCGGAGTGGGTTTTGAAATGTTTTAGTATGTCAAGGGTTGAAGAGTGGTGGGTTTTATAGGGATCGATGAGATGATTCGGGGAAGCAAATTGAGAGGCCATTCAATTGAAGGCATAAATAAATGGTCCCGGTGGGAGCCGAAACAATTCGTCTGTGAAGCTCAGCCTCTACGTCTGTTACGAATGACGGAATGAGAAGAAAGAGATGACGACATCTCGTTTGCTGATGGGCTTCAATTTTGTTGGTTTTATCAAAGATGGGCTTACATGGGCCTTTTTCGGTGATTTTATGTTGCTTTCGTTTTTTTTCTGCTGACGTGGCAGGACGGAAACTCTAATAGAAATGCTGAGGTGGATAGCTTCTGAGGCCCCAAATAGCTGCTTTCAATAGTATAGATGATATAAGTATAAATATTGTTGTTCTAGTGTCATTTTGAACAAATGATGCTTTCTAATTTGATTAATTTTTAAGTTAAAATCATTTGTTGAAATGATACAAAATAAATGATACTAATAAATAGTTTTCTTGTAGTGTATACCAATGACATTGTATGTAAATATTCTAGTAAATGATGTCTTAATTGAAATTGTCTTGAAAGTGAACCTGGTGATGACACATCAGCATAGCATTCTTGTTAATAACATATGAGAAAAATGTTATTTTAATAGTGTTTTCTCTTTTAATATATTAAGGATTTATACTCAAGAACTAACAGATTCATTTGAAATGTTATTAGTGAAATGACTAAAATATGATTTTTGTTACATAAGTCAATAGACATTGGCCTGTAAACATATATTTATCTTTAAATTTCTGTTTAAATCATAATTACTGTTAAATTTATATTTTATATCTGAACTAGTAAACAATTATTTTCTAAAATATTTCAATTATTATATATTTATAGAATTATTTTCTACTTCCAACGGTCATAAAGTTAATTCTTCAAAAGTTTTTTTTTTTACTTTCTAACGGCTACTTAAACGGCTAATACACAGTATTTTCTGATCTATAAATAAACTTATTTTTCATTCACTCATTTCACTCAAACATTTTATCTTTCGTCGAATCCCCCCAAAGAAAAAAAAAATGCTTAATCTATTTTTAATTTTTGTAATAGGTTATATTTTTGTTGCAATTTATAGTTTATATATTAGAGAATTTTCTCCTGAAGAGTATGTGATGATTTTTATGTTAATGTTTTATGCAATTGTATTTCTTGTAATCTCGTTATTTATTCCAGCTCCACGTATATTTTAAATTAAATAAAATTATTTTGCTAATGATACTCTATGTTATTTTATTTTTAGACACAATGGCAAACATCGAGAAGCTCCAATTCCCGGCCTTGGACATCACTGGTGCTAATTACATTTCTTGGACCACGAATGTCGAACTTCATTTGGAATCTCTTGCGTTGTCAGAAACCATAAAAGAGAACAATACGTCGACGACCCAAGAAAAGGCCAAATCGGTGATCATCCTTAGAAGACACCTAGATGAGAGCATCATATAATTATGCACACATGAGAGATCCCAAAGAGCTCTGGAAGTCTCTGAAAGATCGGTTTGATCATCAGAAAGTCATAACACTTCCACTTGCTCAGGATGAGTGGCAAAGTTTGAGGTTCCAAGACTTTGACAAAGTGATAAACTACAATTCCGCCGTGTTAGGAATTGTGGCCAAACTGAGATACTATGGTGAGATGATGATAGGGTATTGCGATGGTGGAAAGATATGAAATGGTATGAATGAGGTGGAATGCAAACAGTGGTGAATGAAGATGAGATGGTATGGTGCAATCACAATCAATCAATTTATCTGTATCATCATAGTCAATGTAGTACAAGAGGTTATCAATCCAAAATTCCAAATGGGTGAGATGTTGCTCTATGAATTTATGCAAACACAAGAAAGTCAAGCAATATAGTAAAAAGGGATGAATCTAACAACCTAATGAAATGAAAATGCAATGCAGAAGGTAAAAGAAAGCAGTAAATGAAAGATTAAAGGCGACTCGACCGAGTTAAGGCAGAGCATTAGAGCTCGATCGAGTTGGGGATCGAGTTAAAGTAAAACAGAGGAAATGCGAATGAAAAGCGGTAAAGACACAAATTTTAAGCTATGGGAACTAAGATTGGGGTCTAAGCCAGGGTCTTGCGACCAGGGGATGGCTATACTTAATAAATCCTGCACTTTAACCACTTGTATTCAAGGTATCTCTTGGTATTGAGCTTCTCAAGTCTAGCTAGCCCTTTCCCAAGGTGAAAGCTATCATCTAAGGTAAGATCTCAGAAACAGGGGGTCAGCCAGTGAGAATCAAGCCTTAGAGGCAGTAGGATCATTGCTCAAACTAACCCATCCATAACCTATAAACTCCATTTCGAGAGCAAGCATATTGGTGCTCTTTGTGGACCTTTTCAAGCGATTTTCCAACACTTCCATGAGGAAAATCGCCTATGATCAAACACACCATGGATAGTGGTTGTGTTGCATTAAGTTTTGTCCAAAAGAGAGAGATTTTTAGATTAAGAACATCAAGCAAGAGAGGTTAAGCATAACAATCCTCTAGTCTAGCCCATCTTAAATCCTAAAGAGAACTACTCACTACACATTTCGCAAATTATGATCAAATGCAATAAAGGAGACATTGAAAGATAGACAAGATAAAGATGAACAACTTTTATTGAAATAAGCAAGTGAAAATACAAAAGGATAAGGCCTAGATCTAAGGTTCAAGAGCAAGAGCTCAAGAACACAAAGAGAGGCTAAGGTTTTTTCAAAAAGTAAAAGGTACAAAACTAAATAAAGCAAAACGAAATTAAGCTAAGGAGAGTTGTGTTTTTTCGTGGCTGCAAGCCCTTAAATACAAAAGAGATTAGGTTTAGGGTCAAAGGGGAGTCAAAGGGAAGCAACATTTTTCGGGTTTGACCATTGACTCCGCAGCTCGATCGAGTTGTAACTTGGCCGGTAGAGTTGAGGACCGGTTGGTCGAGTAGGTGGGTCGAGCTGCCTTCAAGATGGCTTTTTTCTTCGTCCTAATCATGTGCGGCTGAGCTGAATCGATGCACTAAGTCCTTCCTTGCTCCTCACGTCCCAGTTGTTCCAAAGTACTCCAAAAGAACCTATTTAAGGATCAAACATGCACATGTATGCAAATGCAACCTAAAACTACTATGAATGCATAAGAAGGGAAAGGGAACAAGATATGATGCTAATGGATGCTAAAACCATGCAAAACATGCATAAAAGATGTACTAAAACTATGCAAAATGCAAGTACATCATGAGACCATAACGAAAGCTCAAATGCTGGAGAAGACGTACACCACATTCCACAAGGATCACATCACCCTGCAACAACAATACATGTTGCGAGGATACACCAAATTTTCTGATTTGATTGTGGCACTCCTAGTTGCGGAGAAAAACAATGAGATCCTCATAAAGAATCACATGACTCGACCTGCTGGATCCAAAGTGTTTCCTGAAGCAAACGCATTGGATGTAAAGAAACCGGTGAAAGAAAACAATTCTTTCCGAGGTCGTGGAGGTCGAAACAATCCGGACGTGGCGGACGTGGGAGATACAACCCAAATAACAAAAGGTCATTCCAATGGAATCGCTCTGAACAATCTTCAGAAAAAGAGCACCAAGGAAACACCTCCCAGAAGCGAGAGACTTGTTTGTTACAGATGCGATACAAAGGACATTGGTCCCGGAATTGCCGTACTCCTAGGCACCTTTGTACATTGTACAAAGATTCCCCAAAGGCAAAGGAAAAGAAGTAAACCTTGCAGAGCACTCAGAGGGAACAACCCACCTCGATGCTTCTGACTTTGCAGATGATTTCGATGACACCGTCCCATCAGAAGTCTGAAATATCCGTCATGTGACTCATGAAATCCCAAGGATTGTGTTATAAATAATTGCCACTTGTGTGAAATGTTTAAAATTAATATTGCTTGCATTATCTATTTATGTATAATTATTGTGTGATGCTAACTACTTATGTATAATTATTGTGTAATTTTCAACTATTAATGTATAATTATTGTGTGCTATTTGCTTGATTAATAAAATTACCTTATTTATATAACTTGTTTTGTTGATCTCAGAAATGGATTACAAAACGAATGGAACAACATCCAAGATGAATAATGGAGATATATGTATACCAGACAGTGGAACAACGCACACTATTCTGAAACATAGAAAATATTTTTCTAATTTAAAACCGACAAAGATTATTGTCAATACAATCTCAGGTCCTGCAGACTTGATTGAAGGACTGGTAACATAATTTTGCATTACCTAATGGGACGAGATTCTCAATAGATAATGCATTATTTTCTCCAAATTCGAAAAGGAATTTGTTGAGTTTTAAAGATATATACCTTCAAGGGTTTGATACTCAGTCAGCATGAGGATGGAAAGAAGTATATGTATATAACTTCTGAAAAATCAGGAAAAGTGAAAGTATTGGAAAAGTTACCAAAACTCCCTTCTGGTTTGCATCATACATATATCAATGAGATAGAATCACATCTAGTGATCAAAAGAAATCTTGATGATTTCACAATATGGCATGATCGCCTTGGCCATCCTGGTACTACTATGATGCGAAAAATTATTGAGAATCACACGGGCATTCCTTGAAAATGCAAGAATATACCAAGGAAAGAAAATGACGTATGCCGCGTGTTCTCTTGGAAAATTGATAATAAGGCCATCACCATCTAAAATTGATAAAAGAATTACCAAAATTCCTTGAACGAATCCAAGGTGATATATGTGGACCTATACATCCACCGTGTGGACCATTTTACTACTTTCATGGTAATGATTGACGCGTCAAGTAGATGGTCACATGTTTTGTCTATTATCATCTCGAAATGTGGCATTTGCGAGATTTCTAACTCAGATAATCAAACTAAGAGCTCAGTTTCCTGATTATCCAATAAAAGGAGTTAGACTAGATAATGCTGGTGAGTTCACATCTCAAGCATTCAATGATTATTGTATGGTAACTGGATTAATGTTGAACATCTGTGGCCCATGTTCATATACAAAATGGTTTGGCCGAATCATTAATTAAGCGTTTGCAATTAATTGCTAGACCATTGATCATGAGATCAAAACTCCCACCCTCTGTATGGGGACATGCTGTTTTGCATGCAGAAGCTCTTATTCGAATAAGACCAAGTGCATACCATAAGTATTCCCCATTACAGTTGGCTTTTGGTCGAGAACCAAATATTTCTCATCTAAGAATTTTTGGTTGTGCGGTATACGTACCTATAGCACCACCACAACGTACAAAGATGGGACCGCAACGAAGATTAGGAATATATGTTGGTTGCGATTCCCCGTCTATTATACGATATCTCGAACCACAAACGGGAGATGTCTTTACGGCACGCTTTGCTGACTGCCATTTTGATGAGAAAGTATTCCTGGTTCTAGGAGGGAGAAAATAAGCAAGAAATGAAGGATATCAAGTGGTGTGTACCATCCTTACTACACCTTGATCCTCCTACAAAACAATCTGAACTAGAAGTTCGACGAATTATGCATTTGCAGAATATAGCAAATCAGTTACCTGATGCGTTTACTAATACCAAATTGGTAACAAAATCACACATACCAGCTGCAAATGCCCCTGCTCGTATTGAAATACCACATGAACTTGCAAAGGCAAACGATACACGTGAGTCTAAAACACGCTTGAAGCGTGGTAGACCTGTTGGTTCTAAGGATAAAAATCCTAGAAAGCGAAAGGAAGTTGAGAAGCATGATGATCCTAAAATAACAGAAAGTATTTTAGGAGAAACAAGTGATATACCTCTAATTTACCCACTTTTTATACTGTTTTAGCATTGTTTTCTAATGGTTTTTGGCAGGTTTTCTATCTAAAAAGGTAGTTTTACTGTGTTTATAGTGTCTAGAGTCTAAACAGGTGAAATGATGCATTTTGGAGCAAAACCATAGGATTTGCACTTCAAGCAGCTCCATGCACAAGCACCAACTTTAAGAGGGCCCAGAAAAAGATCTACTCAATGGATTTCATCAAGACCAGTTCCCTGCGTGCTCTGATTGAGTTAACTTTCCAACGCAACTGGAATGGCCTCATTTGGATGAGTAGAAAAGGAGTTATAACCAAAAGAGTGAAGACTGTCCAGACGGCTCTATCGAGAAACAGCGCCCAACCGCGCAGTCCGGCTGGCCGAGGAACGATGTTCCGCGCTCGGCCAAAGTCGTCCGTCCGTCTGAAGTCTCGGCCAAAGTCCAAAACCACTCGGCCGATCACGCATCACGACCCGGGAAACTCAAGCCCGCGGTCGGCCACGCCACAACCGCCACGCCACCCGCGCACGACCAAAGCGCGCGAGCCGGGAAAAGCCTCGCGGCCGCGCAACCGCTTCCGTACCACGCCGAACGCTCCGTCCGACCGGGAGTAACGTCCCGCGTCCGGCCGAGATTTCATCGGCCAAACTCATCCGCCGACCACGCCGGCCGACCGTGAATCCGTCCGACCCGACCGTTCCGACTCGGCCACGACCCGACTGTCCGGCCGATCGTCCCGACCGACCGTCCCAACGCCGCGGTCGACCCGAAGCCCGTTTTGAAGCCCATTTCATGTTTTCAAGCCCGGCTTAACCCTAAGCCGCCTCTAGAAAGACCTAGCACTATATATATGGATTTTTAGCCTCTTGTGAAAAGAGAGCCGCCCTGTATTTCGATTTCCTACTCTAAGTTTTATTGCAATCATGTTTTCTTCATCTCTATGTGTGTTTGCTTTGATCATGTCTGAGTAATCCACTAGTTAGGTTGCTAGGGTTACTATTCAATGAGTTGCTTGCATGATCTTTGATTTCAATGATTAGCTAGGGATTATATTAGAGTCTTTGTCTCGTCTTGTGCACTTAACTAATGCTGATTGCTTTACCGCGCATCTAGTAATCCGATCTTAGGTTGATTTGAGCCTCGACAGTGCTGTATCATTCGCCGGACATATTCTTTGACAAGCTAGGTTTCTTAGACTGCGAAAGTTGATCTATCTATATCTAGTGAACTGTATCAGAACCTATTCATTCTAATGCTTGATTTAATCACCTAGGGACATACCAAAAGTTTAGCGACTAGGTAGATTAACAAAGGAGCCGGAGCCTCGAAAGTGGAATGGTTTTATATTCGTGATCTGTGTTCTAGATGGTTCTTAATATCCCAATATCCCTAATCAATTAATCTATCATTGTTTCATTGATCATTGCTTGCTTCTCTGCGATAGCCCCTATGACCTAGCGCTTTTCCTTTATTGTTTACAACCTCGTTATACTTGCTAGTTCGGTTCACCATTACAACCTCAATCATACTTTTGTTTTAGCTTGATCCAAAATCCATAGTTCAAAGTGTACTCAATAGCCAGTCCTTGTGTTCGATACCCATACTTCCGCGATCTGTGCACTTGCAGAGGTCTAGGAGTTTGGTAAAACCTGACTCCGCATCAAGTTTTTGGCGCCGTTGCCGGGGACTGCAGCAGTACCTTTGGAACTCGACTAGGATCTAGTCTAGAACCTTTTCCTGTTTTGCTTTTCTTTTGCTTTTGAATTTTTAGTTTTTGATTTCTTTTCTTTGATTTTTGCTTTTGTTTTTGTTTTTCCCTTTTGATTTAACTTGTTTCCAAGACTCTTTTCAGGTGCATGACTAGGAGGTCCAACAAGGACAACCTAGTTGAACATCCAGAGATAGACAAGCTTGAGAAGCAACTTAGGAAGCAAAAGCCCAAGAGATGGCCGACGAAGCAGCTCGCGCTCACGCCGCTGAAGTGGCGCGCGCTCAAGAAGAAGGACGAGATCCACCTCCTCCTCCTCCTAACCCTGCTGGAGATGTGAATGCACAACCCCAAGCTGGAGCACCTACAATCGGAGACTATGACTCTGCCGATGCTTTCTTCATGGATAGAAACCCTATCCATCCACCACTCCTGCAAGGAATGACTATGAGATCAAGCCTCAGATCATAGCATTGGTTAGACAGAACCAATTCAATGGACTTCCAGCTGAGCACCCTCTTGATCACATAGAAAACTTTGAAGAAATTTGCAGCACTACAAGATCCAATGGAGTCTCTGCTGACTACCTTAAGTGCAAGCTCTTTTCATTCTCTCTTGGCGACAAAGCTTCAAGATGGTTGAAGTCTCTGCCAGCTCACTCCATTACCACTTGGGATGAGTACAAGGCTGCATTCATCAACCACTTCTACACCAAGCAAAGATCAATTTCTGTGAGAACAAGATCTCCACTTTCGCCAAGCCAACAATGAATCTTTCTATGAGGCGCTAGATCGATTCAAGGAGTACATTAGGGACTGCCCTAATCATGGTTTCAATGAGGGAAACCTATGGAACATCTTCTATCGTGGCATAGACCACAAGTACAAGCTTTCATTGGACACTGCAAGCAATGGAAACTTCATGACCAAGACTGTTGATGAAGCTAAGGTTCTTATTGAGAATCTTGCAGCTAGTGATTGTAACAACTGTCCTGATTATGACCGCTCAAGCCGCACCACTACTAGCTCCCCTGATTCTTTTCAAATGACTGAACTCAAGAACATGATGGCTCAAGTTCTTAAGGGACAGCTCAAGCATATCAATGCAATAGAAGGGATGAGTGATGCTAATGAAGATTCATCAAGAGAATGCATGGGAGATTTCTCTAATGAAGCCAATGAAGAAGATGTGAACTACATTGGAAACTATGGGAACAAGGGATACAATCCAAGCTATCGCCCAAACCCCAACATGTCTTATAGAAACCCCAATGTGGAGAATCCTCAAGACCAAGTGTATCCTCCAAGGTATCCACAACAACAAAGACCTCCTTACCAATCTCAAGGAAGTCAATTTCAGCCAAGGCAAGGATATGAGCAGAGATCATCATATCCGCCCAAGGAGCCATATGCTTCTTCACCAAATCAAGCTCCTTGATGTACTTGCATTTTACATAGTTTTAGCACATCTTTTATGCATCTTTTGCATAGTTTTAGCTTCCATTTGCATCATATCTTGTTCCTTTTCTCTTCTTATGCATTCATGTTAGTTTTAGGTTGCATTTGCATACATATGCATGTTTGGTCCTTTGAAATAGGTCTTTTGGAGCATTCTGGAGCATATAAGGAGCATGGAGGGACTTGGCACATGGAAGCAGCTCAACTGGATACGCAAAGGAAGAAGGGAGAAGCCATCTTGAAGACCAGCTCGACCGTCTACTCGACCAACCGGTCGAGTTCCTCAACTCGACCGGCCAAGCTTCAACTCGATCGAGCTGGAAGTCAAAGTCAAACCCGAAAAATGTTGCTTCCCCCTTGACTTTCCTTTGACCCTAAACCTAATCCTCTTGTATTTAAAGGCTCTAAGCCACGAAAAAACCACCAAGCTTTAGATTACTTTTGTTTTAGTTTCTTTAATTTATTGTCTTTTACTTTTTAGAATCTAATCCCATCTTTGTGTTCTTGAAGCTCTTGCTTCTTGAATCCTAGATCCTGGATAATCTCTTTGTATTTGCACTTGCTTATTTCAATAAAAGTTGTTTAATTTCATCTCCTCTTTCTTATGATGTCTCTTTTATTGCATTTGCTTGTGTTTACATTCATGTGTAGTGAGTAGTTACCCATTAGGGTTTGAGATGGGATAGATTAGAGGTTTCATATGCTTAATCCTTCTAGCTTATGGTCTTAATCTAGATTCTCTCTCTTTTGGATAGATCTTAAGGCTACATGACCACTACCCCTGGCTTGTAAGTCCTTAGGCGACTCCCCACACGAAAGTGATGGCATTCGCTGGAAAAGATCCACTAAGAGCTCCAATATCTCTTGCTCTAGACAATAGAGGTCTAAGGGGTTGGATGGATTAGTTTGGGCAATGATCCTATGCCTCCAAGGTTTGATTCTCACTGGCTAACCCCCTGTTTCTGAGATCATTCCTTGGTTGATAGCCTCACCTTGGGAAAGGGTTGGCTAGGCATTGAGAAGCCCAATATCAAGAGAAGCCTTGATACAAGGAGTTTTAAGAGCTAGATTGATTAAGTGTAGATTCCTTTGATTGCAAAACCCTGTCTTGAACCCTAATTCTCTCTTTATCTTGTTAAAGTCGTCACCTTTAGCTTTGTTTGTCTCAACTCGACCCTAAACTCGATCGAGCTGGTACTCTGTTCACTCGACTCGAGTCCTTGGTCGAGCTGCTTGTTTACTGCTTTGTTTACTTTTATTGCACTGCTTTTCATTTTTTTAGGTTGTTAGTGTTACTTCAAATCTATACTGCTTGCTTGACTTTCTGGTTGTTTCATATTCTCATAGAGTGACAAGTTTCCCATTTTGGATTGATAACCTCTTATACTACATGACTATGATGGTTAAGAGGAATTGTTGATTGATTGTGTTGCATCTTACCATCATCATTACCACTGTTGCATTCCACCTCATTTCATATCACATCCACACACAAATCCTATCATCAATTTGGCGCCGTTGCCGATTTGGGAATATTTTTGTTGCATTTGAGTTTCAAACACACTTGGACGATCAAGCTATACCACCCCTGTTCTATTGTACTGCTGGGTTTTTGTCTCTTTTTGCAGGTGTATGCGAACTCGATCGAGTCGGTCTAAGAAGACTTGGTCGAGCTAGACATTACAACGGGTAGAAAGAGGGTTCAGAGGTCACAGAGGGTACAAGAGGAACCTGAGGTGCTTGTTGCTGATACAATGGATGTACCAGAGGGGAATGGAAACCCTTTGGGCATGGACTCGGTCGAGCTAGGCAAACTCGACCGATTGGTCAAGGAGATGCTCCAAACCGCCACCAACAGAGACAAGGGATTGTTCCACCACCAGTGCAGAACCACAACTTTGAGATCAAGCTGGGAATGATCAACCTTGTCCAGAACAAGATGTTCCATGGATTGCCAAGTGAAGACCCCATTGACCACCTTGATGAGTTTGATAGGCTTTGTGATTTGACAAAGATCAATGGTGTCTCTGAAGATGCCATCAAGCTGAGACTCTTTCCTATGTCTCTAGCTGACAAAGCTCACCAATGGGAGAAGAGCTTGCCCCATGGCACAATCACCACTTGGGATGAATGCAAGAAGGCCTTTCTTGCTAAGTTTTTCTCCACCGGTCGCACAGCCAAGCTTAGAGGAGAGATATCCAGCTTCATCCAGCGAAACAATGAGACATTCGCAGAGGCTTGGGAGAGGTTCAAAGGCTACACAAGTCAGTGCCCACACCATGGATTCAACAATGAATCACTACTCTCCACTCTTTATAGAGGATGCTTGCCTAGGTATAGGGAGATGCTAGACACAGCTAGCAATGGGAACTTCCTCAACCAGGATGTAGATGATGGCTGGCAACTTGTGGAGAACATGGCCATATCAACAGAATGCTATGGAGAGCACTATGAAAGTACAGACTGGAGCTCGACCGCGCACTCGATCGAGCTGGAGCTCAGATGAGAAAAGACATGCTTGCACTCAACTCGAAGTTGGACAAACTGATCCTAGCCCAATTCCCTGCCAAGCATGTCAACTATGTCTCAGAACAAACCTAGTCAAGGACCAGGAAGGGGAGGAGACAACACAAGAAGTTTGCTACATTCAAAATAGACAAGGAAGCTATAGGAATCCTCAACAAGGGCGATACAACAATTATCAAGCCCCCTGGCCGCACCAACAACAAAGTGTTCCACAAGGCTTCAACACAAGGACTACTCATACCCAACCAACTCAAGATTGGGATATGAAGGAAATGCTCCAACAACTTTTACAAGGGCAAGCCAAAGGTTCTCTGGAAATGAACAACAAGCTGGTTGAGATACACTCTAAACTAGAGTCATTGACTTCAAGAGTCCAAATCATTGAGTCTTCAAGTGCATCATCCTCTTCACCACAAGAGTATGCCCAAGCAGTTACACTAAGAAGTGGGACAATTCCCGAGTAGAGGTAGCCCACCCCAAATCGCTGTGGACATCGATGACGAGGAAGGGGAGGATTTAGTCGACTATGCTGATAACTCGACCCGAACTCGATCGAGCTGGAACAAAACCCTGAACCAGAACTCGATCGAGCTGAAGAAACTGAGACACTGCAAGACAAACCAGAGCTCGATCGAGCCAGAAGAGAACAGACAAAGCAAACTCCAGCCAACCAGCTAAACCTGTTGCAAAGAAGAAAGACACTCCAGCAGGACCACCACCATACAAACCCCCTCTGCCCTTTCCAGGAAGGTTCAAGAAACAACTGTTGGAAGCACACAAGGCCAAGTTTGATGAACTAATGAGACAGCTTGAGCTGAAGTTGCCCTTCATCGACGCCTTGATGCTCATTCCACCTTATCAGAAATTTCTGAAGGATGCTGTTCAGCAAAGAACCAGGGAAGCACAAGGGATGGTAGTGTTGACTCGCGAGTGCAGTGCAATCATTCAGCGGAAGGTCATCTCCGACAAAAAGGAAGATCCGGGGAGTTTCACTTTGCCCTGCATGTTGGGACCCCTATCTTTCAAAAACAGCCTCTGCGATCTAGGATCATCTGTCAGCCTCATGCCTTTGTCTGTAGCAAAGAGACTGGGATATCACAAGTACCAAGCCTGCGGAATCTCACTAGTCTTGGCAGATAGATCGATAAGGTTACCAACTGGGATGCTTGAAGACCTGCCTTTGAGGATAGGGAATGTGGAAATCCCCACGACTTCATTGTGCTTGAGATGGATGAGGAACCAACAGATCCATTGATTCTAGGAAGGCCATTCCTAGCTACAGCAAGAGCAATGATAGATGTCTGTGAAGGAACAATTGAGTTAAACTTGGGAAAGGACCTGAAGATGAAGTTTGATATCAAGGATACAATGAGGAAACCAACTATAGAAGGTCAGCTCTTTTATGTTGAGGAAATGGATCAGTTGGCAGATGAGCTTCTAGAAGAGTTATCAACAGAGGATCCCTACAAGTTGCTTTGACCAAGGATTCTTCAGAAGGATATGTGAGCTCAGAAACTGATGAGTACAAGAAGCTCCTTGACACCTTCAGACCAGTTCCAAACATTCTGAGCATTGAGGGATTGGACAGGCCAGTTTGCGAAGTCATGGCAGTGAGCTCGATCAAGAACTCGATCGAGTCGAGTCGAACAAACGAACTCGATCGAGCTGGGGACTGAATGCAAGGAGCAAGCTCAAGGAGATTGGTCTGAGCTCAAGGCGCCTAAAGTCGACCTCAAACCTTTGCCTGAGGGCCTCAGGTATGCATTTCTGGGTGAAAACTCAACTTACCCTGTCATTGTGAACTCTGATTTGGAACCTGAACAGTTGAGTGCTTTGCTTGTTGAATTGAGAAGTACAGAAAGGCAATAGGTTACACTCTAGATGATATCAAGGGGATCTCCCCTGACCTATGCATCCATAGGATTCATCTAGAGGATGAAAGTAAGTCAAGCATTGAACCTCAGAGAGATTGAACCCCAATCTAAAGGAAGTAGTGAAGAAAGAGATACTCAAGTTGCTTGATGCTGGGATAATCTATCCCATCAGTGATAGCACTTGGATATCTCCAGTTCATTGCGTCCCAAAGAAAGGGGGGATCACTGTCATTAAAAATGACAAAGAGGAGCTGATTCCCACTAGAACAATAGTGGGGCATCGCATGTGTATTGACTATAGGAAGCTAAATTCAGCATCTAGAAAGGATCATTTCCCTCTCCCTTTCATTGATCAGATGTTAGAAAGATTAGCAAACCACCCTTTTTATTGTTTTCTTGATGGCTACAGTGGTTTCTTCCAAATCCCGATCCACCCTAATGATCAGGAGAAGACCACTTTCACATGCCCTTATGGTACCTTTGCTTATCGAAGGATGCCATTTGGGCTGTGCAATGCCCCAGCTACTTTCCAGAGATGCATGACCTCCATTTTTTCAGATCTGATAGAGGAGATGGTAGAAGTCTTCATGGACGATTTCTCAGTCTATGGAGCATCCTTCTCCTCATGTTTGTCTAACTTGTGCAGGGTGTTGCAGAGGTGTGAGGAGACAAATCTAGTACTCAACTGGGAGAAGTGCCACTTCATGGTTCGAGAAGGGATTGTGCTTGGACACAAGATTTCCGAGAAAGGGATCGAGCTCGATCGAGCTAAGGTGGATGTCATGTTGCAGCTCCCTGTTCCCAAGACTGTGAAGGACATCAGGAGTTTTCTGGGTCATGCAGGGTTCTACAGAAGATTCATCAAGGATTTCTCAAAGATAGCAAGACCCTTGACAAGGCTTCTGTGCAAGGAGACAGATTTTGAGTTTGATGAAGAATGCCACAAGTCTTGGACCTTGCTGAAGGATGCTCTGGTGTCTGCGCCAATAGTTCAAGCTCCAAACTGGGATCACCCATTTGAGATTATGTGTGATGCATCTGACTATGCAGTAGGAGCAGTGCTTGGCCAAAAGATAGACAAGAAACTCAATGTCATCTACTATGCAAGCAAGACTATGGATGATGCTCAGTGCAAGTATGCAACCACAGAGAAGGAACTCCTTGCCATAGTCTTTGCCTTTGAGAAGTTTCGAAGCTATATAGTTGGGTCCAAGGTGATTGTGCACACTGACCATGCTGCCCTTAGGCACATCTTTCGCTAAGAAAGATACAAAGCCAAGACTTCTCAGATGGATCCTTTTGCTTCAAGAGTTTGACATAGAAGTTGTGGACAAAAAGGGAGTAGAAAATGGAGTTGCTGATCATCTCTCTAGGATGCGAGTTGAAGACATGATCCCCATCAATGATTCTATGCCTGAAGAACAGCTTATGGCAATCATGATCTTGAAGGAGAGTTTTGATGAGAAAGCCAGGCTGGAAGAAGTTAAGGCTCTGCGTGATGAGAATTTGCCATGGTATGCTGATATAGTGAACTTCATGGTGTCCGGAGAAGTCCCTAGTAGCTTTGATGCTTACAAGAGGAAGAAATTCTTCAAGGATGCTAGGCATTACTATTGGGATGAGCCTTACTTGTACAAGAGAGGACCAGACAGCATTTACAGGAGATGCATAGCTGAAGAGGATGTACAAGGAGTTCTAGAGCATTGCCATGGGTCAGCTTATGGAGGTCACTTTGCTACATTCAAAACAGCAACTAAGGTTTTGCAATCTGGGTTTATGGTGGCCTACTTGTTTAAGGATGCAGCAAGCTACATTGCCAAGTGTGATCCATGCCAAAGGAAAGGAGGGATCACCAAGAGATGAAATGCCACTAAACCCAATTCTAGAAGTTGAGATCTTTGATGTATGGGGAATAGACTTCATGGGACCTTTCAAACCTTCCTCAAACGGGCACAACTACATTTTGGTTGCTGTGGACTATGTGTCCAAATGGATTGAAGCCATTCCCTGCCCAACCTGTGATGCTAAGGTTGTTATCAAAGCTTGTTCAGAACCATCATCTTTCCAAGATATGGCATCCCAAGGGTTGTTATTTCGGATGGAGGCTCCCATTTCATCAACAAGGTGTTTGAAAAGTTGATGAAGAGTTATGGAGTCAAGCACAAGGTCGCTACACCTTACCATCCTCAAACCAGTGGGCAAGTTGAAGGTCTCCAATAGACAGATAAAGGCCATATTGAGAAGACTGTGAGCTTCACTAGGAAAGGATTGGTCAACAAGGCTTGATGAAGCACTTTGGGCTTATAGAACAGCTTACAAAACCCCCATTGGAAGGTCTCCTTTCAATTACTGTATGGAAAGGATTGCCACTTACCTGTGGAGGTCGAATACAAGGCTTTATGGGCAGTAAAGATGCTGAACTTTGACATAAAGGCAGCACAAAGAAGAATAATGAACTTGTTTGAGTTGGAGGAAATCAGAATGAATGCCTATGAGAACTCCATGATCTATAAGATGAGAACCAAGGCAGCCCACGACAAACTGATTCGCCTTAAGGACTTCAAGGTTGGGGACAGTGTGCTCTTGTATAACTCCAAGCTAAGGTTGTTTCCCGGGAAGCTGAGGTCAAATGGGCGGGACCATTCAAGATTCACGAAGTTTTGCCCTATGGATCCCTCACTTTCAATCAAGAGGGGAAGAATTCACAGTGAATGGGCATAGATGCAAGCCCTACCTAGGAATGACCCCCACAGAGGAGATCATCACTCCTCTTCAAGATCCAACCCCGGCCTAAAAGGTTTAAGGTCAAGCTATGAGACCTAAAACAAGCTCACTTGGGAGGAATTCCCATGTCTATCTTACTATTTAGCTTTATCTTTTATCTCTGTTTTTCTTGCTAAGTCTTGCAGGAACAGGTTTTAGGAAGAAGAGGGCCAACTCGAGGCACAACTCGATCGAGCCAAGAGCAAGCTCGATCGAGTGAGACGGAACCCAGTCGAGTGGAGTGCTCCTGATGGCCGTCTGCCCATCTCCAGACCACGACCTTGCCTCCCAGTTCTTTGGGGGGCACTGAGGTATCAAACACCAACCCTTGTACATACCATTTCATATTTTCTTGCATTTGTTCTTTTTTTTTTCTTGGTTTTGCCCTCTTGAATCTTTCACTAAATTTTTCTCACACAAGGGACTGTGTGATTTAAGTTTGGGGGAGGGTTCAAGAGATGATTTAACCTTGTTTTCTTTGTTCTTAGTTTTTCATTATCTTTTGCATAGAAAAACCAAAAAAATCATAAAATTTTCAAAAAATCCAAAAATATTTTCATCTTTTTGCATTCATATTTGTTAGATTGTTTAGGATTGCATTTTTCACTTGCATTGTTGATTTGATTTTGAAAACTTGTTCATCATTTGCGATTTCTTGAGTGCCCTGTTTTTAGATTCTTTGTGCATTAGGGTGAGATTGATTGAGCAGCAAGAACCATGTTTATCTTGATCATATCACTGCATGCACATCTCATTCAACCATTGCTGTGATTTGATGCATTTCCCTATCTATTTGAACCATAACTTGATCTTTAATTACCAATGCTTGCATTTGATTTCAACTCATGGCTACCACATACATATCTGGACATTCTTTACCATTTTCATATCCCTCTTGCTTGTCCAGATAGCTGATCTCCATCTTTGAGACAGTTACCACACCTTAAACCTAAGCCTTTTCATTTCAAACCCCATATTATCTCTTGTGCGATTGTGAGAACCTTTCTTGGCTTTGCTTAGCATAAGGTGTTGTGTTTAAACCGGCAGGGGCAGTAGTTCTAGTTGTCTAGTTCTCTTGGGATTGTTTTCAGGCTAAGTTTGGGGGTGCCAACTCGAGCTCGATCGAGTTGGGTGTAAAAACCAGAAAAGTGGTAAAAGTTGGGAAAAATCCAAAGGAAAAAGAGTTTAGTTAAGTCCAGGGAGTTGGCAGTGTTAAAAAGGGTCTAGTAAAGGTTTGGGAAGTTAAAAAAGAAGTAAAAAGGGTTCTAAGTAGAATGAAAAGAAGGCAAAGCCTCAAGTGTCAAAAAGGAAAGAAAAGTTCCCTAAGTGTTTAGAAAATCCCAAACCGCTAGATGTTACCTCAAGAAGCCTCTCCCTAGGAAGTTCTTAAAAGAAAAGTGAGCAAAGCTCCTCAGTTTCAAAGGCGAAATGCCAAAAAGGGTAGTTAGGATTTTGTTCTAAAAAGCTCTAAGTGTTGAACTCGATCGAGTTAGGATTAGGCGGCTCGAGCTGCTGTTCTTGCATCATCTTTGGTTCTAACACTTAGCCTTCTGCCAAAGCAAAGCCACTTTCTTGAGAGATCCCTGTTACTAAACCACCATACAAAAGAGACCCTCTTTGTCTCTTAACCCATAAACCCTTGAAACCAAATGAGTTGATTGATCTTGCATGTTTTTGGTTCACTGTTTTTGCTTAATGAATGTTAAAGGGATTTGCTGATTTGAATGCATTGTTTGAGTGACTGTGAAGTGGGATTGATGTTGATAAGCATGGTTAATCTT